TCTTTACTGCCTGCACATGTCGATGCCCGCCTCCTTCCCTCTCTCTAACTCCTCTAAACGTGTGTGGTTGTGCAAGGTCAGTAATGAACGAGTGACTGCTTGAATTAATTTTAATTTCAGGTGTTTTATTTGTTATAACTGAACTTGAGGTTGTATTTGAGAGAATCATAATAGATCACAATAGGGGTCATTCCGTAGAAAAAAAGGTGCAGGAGCTCATTAGCATAATTCATGCTAATTAGCATAACTCATTTGCATATGCCACACCCCCTGGCATCACCGGAAGTGTGTCAGAAGGCAACACCCATCGCTCAGGCTCCCCTGGACGGTTTTGGATTGCTAGCTTTTGGGGGGGGGGGGCGTGCAGATCTGCCCTCACAGAGGAAGGAGAGCTTGTATTGAATAAAACTTGGTCTTAAAGGTGCCACTGGACTGTTTTGGACCAGGGGACCGGGGGGGCTCTGCAGCTTACCTGACTGCTTCTTGCTCTGACTGAGGGCTGCTGGGAGCAGGGGGTGAGGCTTGTTGCATGTGCCCGCCCCCTGGGCTCTTTACTGCCGGAGCTCTGCTCCTGTGCGCTCCTGCAGGAAATGACCCCTGGATCACACAACTCGATGGAAAATTAGAGAAAGAGGTTTACTCACAGCTCACAGAATCCTATACCAAAGGGGGCAAGGGATCAAACCTGCTCCAGCAAGCAAGCAGTGAGCATGCACAGAACACCACTTTCTTTTTTATAAATGAAGACAGGGGACCAAAGCATCCCGCCCAAATTCATCACTTTTAAGTCTTATTCCTTTGAAAAGGAGTCAAACACATCTTTAACTTTTGTTGCAATCGATAAGGTTTAAAAACAGGGTGCTGTATTTGTCTTTGAGATACAAGATGACTCTGGGTTGTTTTTTGCTGCACCAGTCTCAAATAGCTACCCTTCTGTAACGGGACTTAAATATTTCTCACTGTTTCTGACAGTAGATTAGGGCCAATTGCCGCAGTGGCTCAAGTGGTTAAGACACTGAACTGCAGGCTGTGGAAGGTCAGTAGTTCAGCACTTCGAGACCCGAGTGTGCCGCATGACGGAGTGAGCTCCCATCTCTAGTTCCAGCTCCTGCCAGCCTAGCAGTTCGAAAGCAAGAAATTGCAAGTAGCTAAACAGGTACCACTTCGGTGGGAAGGTAACAGCGTTCCATGCGCCTTGGTGTTTAGTCATGCCGGCCACATGACCACGGAAACGTCTTCGGACAGCGCTGGCTCTTCGGCTTGGAAACGGAGATGAGCACCGCAACCCTAGAGTAGGATTTGACTGGCTTCCGAGCAAGGGAACCTTTACCTTTACCTTACAGCAGTACGACAGGGCCATTTGCAGCTAAGGTAGTGTTTTCTGGGAGCAGACTCCCTAAGTAGGCAGAAAACATTCATTTGTAAACTTGAGAAAAGAGCCTCTTCAACTGCCTGATGAGTACTGAGCACGCTATAGGAGGCCCAGCCTGTTGAGAGCAGTGAAGGTGGGGAAAGAAAACAGAGGGGGGGGGGTTGGTTTGTTAACCCCCCACCAAAAAAGAATGTAGAATATTGTGAAGGGGGAAACTGGAATCAAGGCAAAATTTCCCAGTGATTTGTCCCTGCATTCGTCCATTCCACGCTATTTCACGTGGGACTCTTAATATGTCTCTAGCCACATTATAACTGTAAATTTTTAAGGAAACATACAAGTTCACCTAATGCAAGGCTCCCCAGTGTGGTACCCGCCAACATCTTTTCTCGCACCCACCAGGGTGTCAGCTAACGCTGCCATGAGTGTGGTATATGTTCCTAATTGCTTTGCATTCCTTCCCATGTGCATAATCGCTTCAAAGCTGTAACGCGTATCTCTCAAGGTCACTGGAGGAGTTGGTACTGTCTAGGTTTCGTGGGAGCTTCTTACGTTCCCAGCTTCGCAGCCATTAGAGAATCTGCCAAATGCCCGCGCGCAGGAGGCCCTCTAATTGGGTATTGCTATGGGGGGGCGCATACGAATGCCCTATATCCTATTATGCGCATAGGTAACCCGCCATTCCTAACAGTGTTCATGTTATTGCATCTATGGCTTTTCAATAAAAGTAAAACCTTCCTGGAAGTGTGTACCTCATTTGCTGTGGATCCTGACACAGGGCTGGGTAAGCAGGGCTTCTGATTGGGTGTGCAGATTAAAAGGCATCCTGTTAAAAAGAGCTTCTGCATGAAGTGTTGGTTACTTCATGCTACCCTTGAGCTTGATCCGGAAATTGCAGGTAGTGCAGAATGCGGCAGCACACCTATTGACGGCGAGGCCTGCGCAGGCATGCATTCAACTGGTGTTGCGCTGGCTGCCGATCGAGTACCGGATCCAGTTCAGGGTTATGGTTTTGACCTTTAAAGCCCTATGCGACCTGGGACCAACATACCTTTGGGACCGCCTCTCCCCATATGAGCCCTGGAGAGCTTTACGCTCTTCTGATCAATATCTCCTGTTGGTCCCTGGCCTGAGGGATATCTGCTTAGCCTCAACCAGGGTGAGGGGTTTTTTTCTGCCCTGGCCCTGGCCTGGTGGAACATGCTCCCATTTGAGATCAGGGCTCTGCAGGACCTAGTACAGTTCTGCAGGGCTGGCAAAACAGAGCTGTTCCGCCAGGCCTTTGGTTGAGGTGGTGGGCGTTCAAGCCATTCTGCCCCGCCCACCCCCCGTCCTGTCCATGGCCGTTTTCCAGTGCCCTGCTGTCCTGGATATTTCTTGGGGTAATAATTCCATAAGGCATGGGATTCGGTTTTATCTGCTATTGCTGTTTATTGTTTTTATTGTTTGTTGATTTTATGTTGTAAACCGCCCTGAGCCCATTTTTGGGGTAGGGCGGGGTATAAATTTAATACATACATACATACATACATACATACATGGCTAATTTTGGGCAGGAACGCACAGGAACAGAGTTCCGGCTGCCTCCCAAGTTGGCCACACCCAGCAGGGACTCATTAGCATAATAGGCCACACCCAACAGCAGAAGCTCATTAGGATTGGCTACATTAGTGGTGTGTGGCCTAACAGGCAAAGGAATTCCTGCTCCCAAAAAAGCCCTGGGTTTTGAAACAAACAAGGTAAACAGAATATGAAGCAAAAGGTGGGTGTGGCTGGATAACCACACTTCTGGTAACATGGGGGTGCGGCCTAATGTGCTAATGACCTATGCTGTCAGGGGTGTGGCCTAATATGCTAATGAGTTTCTGCTGTTGGGTTTGGCCTATTATGCTAATGAGTTCCTGCTGGGCGTTTTCTACAAAAAGAGCCCTGCATACATACATACTAGAGTTCTACATAACCTCGCTCCTTGCCATTTTGTGGCTGGCCCCGCCTCCTATGACTGCCATTTTGTGGATGTGCCCACCGCCCTTTGTCAGAATTCCAAAGGTACCCGCAGTCTCAAAAAGGTTGGGGACCCCTGCAATGTTCCCTCTAAGCGGGTGGAGTCTTGTGAGCAAAGATTCTGCTTTGTGATCTTCGGGCATTAAAGTTGTGAGCAAGCGATTTGGCTGCTGCATCGATTAGTTTGCTCTGGAGCCCCATCCTTCCTGAGCTCGGACAAAAATGTGTGAGCTGGAGGCTTAATAACGGTGAGTTTAGCTCACACTAACTCAGTTCAGACGGAACGCTGGACCTAATGTGTTTCTCTGTATGTAAAAGACGAGGCTTTTAAACCAAGACAGAAATTCTCTCAGAACGTAGTGCAAATAATATTCTGTGGTGAAAGAATACTTTCCGTGTCCTGAGTCATGGTAGCTGTAGTTCAGAAATAATCTATTCCTTATTTAAATAGGATTATCTGGATTATAATATGTTATGGTTGGAGGCAGTGCTTTTTGAAAGAATTAGATAGGGACTGTATTTTTTAAAGTATAGTGCTGTGCCACCTGGTGGACAGAACAAAAAGAACACGTTTGAAAATAATAGTCAAAAATGCTCAGGTTGCGTTTTTCCGGCAGCTGTAATTTCTTATTTACACTTCAAGTATCAAAGTATAATTGCAAACAAATTGCTTGTTAGCATTTCTTATCAGTAGATTGACAGGGGCTGCCTTTACGTCCTCCATCCAGCATTTCCCCCTATTCTCAATGTATGTTTTCTGTGTTGAAAAACCTATATGTTTGCTTATCCATGCAGCAAACACATCTGCAAGGATTTGCAGTGTGATTTCTGAGCCTGAGGAACACAGCAGCAAGGAGAAATTGGAAAGAAGGTGATGTGTGTGTGTGATCACCGCACAAATAAATAATCAGAAAGGGACGTGGGGGGGCAGCACAGTTGCTCGGGGGGGTCACTGGACTGGTCAGCCTGGTAGATCATTTGTGTGGCCACGGCTATTTTTGGGCAGGAACGCACAGGAACGGAGTTCCGTCTGGCTCCCAGGTTGGCCACGCCCAGCAGGAACTCATTAGCATAATAGGCCACACCCAACAGCAGAAATTCATTAGGATTGGCTACATGCAAAGGAGTTCCTGCTACAAAAAAGCCCTGGTTGACAACAAACAAGGTAAGCAGAATAAGAAGCAAAAGGTGAGTGTGGCTGGATGACCACACTTCTGGTAACATGGGGGTGCGTCCTAATGTGCTAATGAGCTGTGCTTGCAGGGTGTGGCCTAATATGCTAATGAGTTTATGGTGTTGGGTGTGGCCTATTATGCGAATGAGTTCCTGTTGGGCTTTTTCTACAAAAAGAGCCCTGTGTGTGGCTATTCTGTGTGGGCCTGCATCCTGAGAAGGCTTCATCCAACTTCCGTGGCTCATCCGCCAACAGAAGAACCTCTTAGGCTGGAGGAAATCCCCGCAGCCCTTAAACTCACACCCACTGTTTACTAAATTTGTTGAACTGCCTTATAGTGAATCAGACCCTCGGTCCATCAAAGTCACCACTGTCTACTCAGACTGGCAGTGGCTCTCCAGGGTCTCAGGCAGAGGTCCTTCACATCACTGATCGCTTGGTTCTTTCAACTGGAGATGCCGGGGATCGAACCAGGGGCCTTCTGCATGTGAAGCAGATGCTCTACCAGTGAGCCACAGCCCCTCCCCTGTTGGTGAGGAGTACTGTGCCTTGTGCAGATGCACGAGGCACAAGTTCACTTGGTGTCTATGTGGCATGCAATTGGGGAGGCTGTAAAATGTCTGCCTGGACACGTCTCTGGAAAAAGCAAAGCAAAGGGTGGGTGCACGGAGCTTATTTTGTGAGCAAGCGTGGTATGTGAGGTGGCAAGAGTTGTCCACTGTTTGTGTGGTATGGAGATTAGGGCAGATGGTTTTGTTTATAGTGCCCCGTGCTTTTTTGAGCAAGAGTGAGGGGTAAGGGGCTTAACTCTAGAATGTTATTCTTGGTTACCTTCAACTCACCTTCTGCTGTAGCTGGGAAACCAAGTGCTGACACCAGAAAGGGCTTCAGAGATGGATTAAATCTTTGTGTGTTACTCCTTCAACCCTTTATCATTGGCGTGCACAAAGAAGCAATATTTTTAAAATAGAGCTGTCAGCCCGTTGACAGTGCTGTGAGTTTCCTTTGTATATTACATTTGTCTTCCGCCTTGATTTTGGCCTGCCATAGAGGGGGATTATTGTGGGATTGCTCTGATAATGCATGTGTCTGTTAAGTGCCGTCAAGTCGCTTCTGAATTCATGGTGACTCTCTGAATTAATGACCGCCAAAATGTCCTATTGTTTACAGTCTTGCCTTATGTCTTGCAAACTGAGGGCCTTTGTGGCTTCCTTGCTTGAGTCCATTCCATCTCATGTTTGTCTTCCTCTTTTCTTGCTGCCTTCAACTTTCCCAGGCATTATTGTCTTTCTAGTGACTCTTGTCACTAGCCTCAGTTCAGTCATTTAACTTCTAGGAAGAACTTTGGCTTTATTTGATCTAGTAAAGGTAAAGGTTCCCTTGCTCGAAAGCCAGTCGAGTCCGACTCTAGGGTTGCGGTGCTCATCTCCGTTTCAAAGCCGAAGAGCCAGCGCTGTCCGAAGACGTTTCCGTGGTCATGTGGCCGGCATGACTAAACACCGAGGCGCACGGAACGCTGTTACCTTCCCACCGAAGTGGTACCTATTTATCTACTTGCAATTTCTTGCTTTCAGACTGCTAGGTTGGCAGGAACTGGGACCGGAGACGGGAGCTCACTCCATCATGCGGCACACTTGGGTCTCGAACTGCTGAACTACCGACCCTCCATAGCCTGCAGTTCACCGTCTTAACCACTTGAGCCACCGCAGCTCCACTTATTTGATCTAGAACCCATTTATTTGTCTTTTTTTTTGCAGTCCATGGTACCTTTTTTTTTTTGCAGAGAGGGCACTAATTGTGAGCGCTGATTCCATTTCCTTGCTTTTGAACTTTTTGTTTTTTTGAGGGGAGACTTTTTGAAGAAGAACTCAGCGAGGAAGAGGAACTTGTCTTGACAACCAGTCGCATGCTGTGAAGGAGGATTATTCTAAATGGTCAGCTTTTTGCAATTTATCACAGTTCCTTATTGAGTAATGCTACCAGAATTAGAGAGGCTTTGTAACACAATTGTTTGTTCTCCCAGTTTAACTTTCTGGCACATTTTTAATCCCCAGGGTAGCACTCATGTTTCGTGCTATGCGTCTTAGGCGCGACCACGTGCTGACCATCGTTATCCAAATTATGAGGGCAGATTGCGTACTTTTCATTATGATACTGTTGTGTGTACATGAGAATGGGAACCTTTAAGAAGGAATCTTTGAACAGTGTTCCATCACCAGAATGCTAAACATCGCTATTCGTAAAAGTGGGGTTGGAATCTACAGCTGTTGCGATGCTTCTTCAATGGGATGTGCTTCAAAAGAACACCCAAGAGTCGTCTAAATGAGATTTTTAAATGTGTCTCTTTACTTCCTTTATATAGCATCCCTTTTTTGCCTATTATGCCTCCATTGAGCAACTGTGAATATGTGATTCATACAGACATGGAAAGGTAGAGTCTCCCTAGAGCATTTTAGGAAATCGTGCCATTCTTGCACAGGAATGAGCTCTTAGAACATCCTTGCTTTTCATAAATGCAATCCCTGGGGGATTTTAGAAAAGGAAGGTGGAAAACCTCTTTAATCCAGGATTCTGAATGGTAATATTTCTAATATTAGACTATTCTCTAGATCAAGGTGGGCAGCCGAGTTGGTCTGAACTACTGGACTCTAACTTTAGACTATTCTCTGTAACTGTATTTCTTTACTCTTCATAATAAATTTAGCCCTTTCTTATGTTCCTGCTATAATAACATTTTAGACTTGTCCACACAATAACCCGGGCTAGGGATGCTTGCAGAAAGCCTTGGCTGAAAGATTTAGTAACACAATAGATAAATTATGCGGAATCAAGATGTGTTAGAACAATATTAAAGGTAAAGGTTCCCTTGCTCAAAAGCCAGTCGAATCCAACTCTAGGGTTGCGGTGCTCATCTCCGTTTCAAAGCTGAAGAGCCAGCGCTGTCCGAAGACGTTTCCGTGGTCATGTGGCCGGCATGGCTAAACACCAAGGCGCACGGAACACTGTTACCTTCCCACCGAAGTGGTCCCTATTTATCTACTTGCAATTTCTTCCTTTCGAACTGCTAGGTTGGCAGGAGCTGGAACTAGAGACGGGAGCTCACTCCGTCATGCGGTACCCGGGTCTCGAACTGCTGAACTACTGACCTTCCACAGCCTGCAGTTCAGCGTCTTAACCACTTGAGCCACCGCAGCTCCTTGAACAATATTAGGTCAGATTAAAATGAAGTAGAGGAGGAGGAGGAGTATCAGTGCAGATACTCTAGATGCTTCATTTATTCACTGGGGGTCATTCTCTTTGAAGTGATATTTATTCCAACGGTAGGCGAGGCAGTATTCACACAGTTACCATAGGCTAGCAACCAAAAAACTGTGAAACTGGTTGTCTGTGTTTAAGGTACCTACCTGTATAGCAAGTGGCTATGGAACCAGGGGAATCTCAAAAGCAGTTTGTGGCACATTTGGAGTAAGGGTCTGCCACTGAAAGAAAACACGGGCTTGCACCCAAACATCTACATGCAGAAGGCACACAGGACCTCCCTACGTTCTTTTCCATTCATGTGGACCCTGGAAAGATAGTTCCTGAGGTTATTGGACCCATGTGGAGGAATAGCTGTACGGGTTAGGGCAGTGATGGCGAACCTTTTAGAGACCGAGTGCCCAAACTGCGACCCAAAACCCACTTATTTATCGCAACACGGCAATTTAACCTGAATACTGAGGTTTTACTTTAGAAAAAACAACTCATACATTAACTTAAGATGATCCAAACAAAGTAAGGAAAGCAATCCCAAATGCTTTCATTTACTTGAAATTATTTGGCAGAGAATTCCACAGTTTAATGACGGTCTGGGCCTGGCTGGGGCGATGGCACGCGTGCCCACAGAGAGGGCTCTGAGTGCCACCTCTGGCTCCCGTGCCATAGGTTCGCCACCACTGGGTTAGGGGGTGGGGTGAGGAAGGGTGCGGGATGCACTTGTCCTCAGTGGAGCTGTGCTTGTGGAAGAGGGAGGAGGAACCGTTGCATTCCGTCATCCCTGCTTACTCCAGCCCCTGGCATGGGCCACTGTTCTTCCGTGTAAGCCCCACAGCGCCACAGATGGCCTTTCTGGAGGTCAGAAGGGGCTGTGGGAATGGAGGAGGGCTCCACCTTCCGTGTATGGATGGATAGCTGGATATGCAGACCCAAGTTTTTAAAAAGAATTCCGCTGGGTACACCCAAGCCCACCCACCCCTTTTCTGGCTTTCAGGTTGCTACTGACTCACGGTGACCCGGTGAGGCTTTTGAGGCAAGAGACGTTCAGAGGTGGTTTCCTGTTGCCCGTCTCTGCGTTGCAAGCCTAGACGTCCTCGGTGGTCTCCCATCCAAGTACTAACCAGGCCTGACCCTGCTTAATGTCCAAGATCTGATGAGACCAGGGTTAGAAGAAGACGAGAGAAGAGACTGGATTTCTACCCCGCCCTTCACTCAGAATCTCAGAGCAGCTTACAAACTCCTTTCCCTTCCCCCGTGAGGTAGGTAGGGCTAAGATAGGTCGTTTCAGAGTTGTCCTTCAGAGAACAGCCCTGACAGAACTATGGCTTGGCCCAAGGTCCTCCCGCAGCTGCAAGCGGAGGAGTGGGGAATCAAACCTGGTTCTACCAGATTATAGTCCGCTCACTTAACCACTACACCAGCCTGAGCTATCCAAGTCAGGGCCCAAGCCCAATGGGTGTGTGTATGCTAAATTACCTCTTTGCCTTCCAGCCATCGTCTAAACACCAATTCTGGTTTTCTCTGCATATATTACGTAGTAATTTCTGAATGGTGCCATTAGCAGAGCAGTCGTAGGAAGAATGATTCCAGTCTAAGCGTATTGATTTCAGTGGGCTTAGACTGGAGCGACTGTGCTTAGGATTCTACTGGTAGTATTTGCACAATAGCCATAATAGGGTGTTTTTGAGACTTCCTAAGAACAGTACATTGAAATATCTTTCATTGTTTTCAAAATATTCCAAATATTTCATTAGTGACCGATAACAAATTCCATTGCTCTTCTGGCTCTTCTTTGTGTCCCCCCCCTTCAGTTATTAACCTTTTATGCACATTATTGTATTTCTTTACTTATTTATAGCTCCCCTTTCTTGCTGAGACTCAAGGTGGATTGCGTGATATAAACAGTGTGACTCAGACAGCATAAGGCATCCAATAAACAATGCAATATTACTCAATTACAAAGTTAGAAAAACAGTGCAAAGGAAAAAGGTATCAGACATGATGTATCATAAACAATGCAAAGAATGGAATTTAAAATGTAGAAGACAATACAGTCAGCCATAAGCCTTTGATTCCCCCCCCCCCCAACACACACATGTATTTCCATTTATTGCAGGGGTGTCAAACTCATTTGTTATGAGGGCCGGATCTGACATAAATGAGACCTTGTTGGGCCAGGCCATATGCATCATAAAATGTAATGCCAGGTAGTAGAGATATAAACTTTATAAAGGGCACAAACACAAAGGGGTATTTTTTACTTTAAA